TGTCAAGAAGAGAATTGTATTAAGAATTATGTTGTGGTCAGTTGGAGCATATTTTGAGGTCAAATATTCAGTGCGCGATTTGAATTAGCAGCAGTTGCATCGGCTTTAGAGTTTTGAGGATCATCATTGTATAGCAAGGAAGTTCAGATTCGTGGGGATCATCAGAGTCTGAAATATATGTGCGCATTCATTAAACTTGTACTTTAGGACGTGCAGATGGATTGAGCTGGTAGCAGTCTACAATTTGAATTTAGAATGACATTTGGTGAGGCCAACCAAGTGGTAAATACTTTAACTAGGTGCATGAAAGATATGTCAGGAATCACAAAGGATCAAGAGTTACTGGAACGCTTACAAGCCTTAAAATTATGTGCAGTTCGGTAGAGGAGGATACAGTTGGCATTGAAGCATTGGAGCATTGGAACATACAATTTACTAGGGATATTACACCAAACTCAAGATATCAATATGGATTGGTTAGGTGGATCGAGGTTGAGAGTGATGTACATCATACAGTTTTGGAGCAAGTTGTTCCTGTATAAGAATCGAGTTGGTGTGTTGGACGTTGTGTTGTTTGGAAAAAGGATCTTACAGCAAACACACCACTCGCGTATCTATGTCCACCCGAGGAACACCCAGGATAACAAGATATGAAGTGTTACTATCATTGGACTAGTTTGGAAAAGATTATAGCGTTGCGTCGCAGTGTCTGATGGTTATGTTTGAAGACCGGATACATATCAGGTTATTGCTGAGTTTGCTTTGACCAGAGTGGAAACGAAACCTTGGGATTATGAATCATCACGTGTAGAGAGGATATGAGGAATTGGGATGTATTTACTAAATCATTTATCTCCCGAATAATTTTGAAGGCAGTTGGAGCTGGCGAGTTGGCACAGAGTACATTAGAGAGATTGTAAGGATTGCATGGAGTTCTTGTAAGCATTGTATCGGTCGCGATGTCAATTAACGTTTACATATGGAGAATTTCTTAGAAGGCGTTTGGAGCAAAGATCTATTTGAATACTACTTATCATCCAGAGACAGAGGGTCACTTGGAGAGGACCAGCCAAAGTTTGAGAATTTATTCAGAGATTGTGTCTTACAGTGGAAAGAAAGTAATGGAAGCGTCTACCTCTAGAAAAGTTGCCTACAGTGACGTTTACAATTAAAATATTGAGGCAGCGCGATATGAAGCTTTTCATGATAAGTCTGAACAAAAGTGGGGGAGCAACAAGTTGTAGAACCATCAATGGTTCAAGAAATGATAGAGCAAGTGGACATGCTCAAAGTTGGCTTTGGGACGGCTATGATCGTCAGAGAGTATGAAGATAAGAATCGTACGGAATTGGAATTCGGGTAGGCGATCGAGTATAACTGAAAATAAGAACATTTCAAGGAGGTATAAGACTTAGAAGCTAAAGAAAGGTAAACTGAAATATATTGGACCACATTTCATTGTGGAAATGATTGGAGTGATCGCTTACAAATTGGAGAAGTTGCTTTGGGATTGGATCTATCAATAGAGCTATCAGATTCTAGTTGTTGATTTGAGGAAGTCGTGAGAGAGTCAGAGATTTGTTGCAGCAGCCGCAAGATGACTTCAGAGGGAATGTATGCATTTTGTCAACCAATGGAGATTATAGATCGTCATATGGAAGCATTTCAGAGAATGTTGCTAGTGTCTGTCAGAGTTATTCAGAGAGAGTTGGGGTTCAGAAGAAGATCTTAGAAACCAAGCAAATTGATTACTCGGAGTTTTGTTGCGATGATTTTGGCCAGTCAACAGACGACTCGAATTCGAGGACGAATTCCTTGTTAGTGGGGGAGAAATTGTAACGACCCGATTCCGAACATAGAATTTGTTAGCACGCTAAGCACCATTCCCGCAGGCCCATTCTATTTCATAAGGCCCATGGACTTGGTTTTAAAACCTCTCCCCATATATTTAATATTTCTGCAACCAAAAGAGAAAGAGAGAAAGAGAAAGAGAAAGAGAGAGATAGAGAGAGTGAGAGAGAGAGAGGAAGAGATGGGGAAACCTCTCAAGTACCAACCACCGGAGCTGCCACGACCACCGTACGCCGAGCACACGCCGAGCTCGTCACCACCATTCGCCTTAGAGAGGGATCGCCGGAAACCGTCGGGAATTAGAGTAAGTTCAAGCTTTGTTTTGTCCGTTTAGTAAATCGTCCATAACTTTTGAACCGTTGAGAATCTCGTGCATGCAAGGCTACCACCGTGTTCTACTCGTCGAGACGAATCCGTAGACACCGAAAACGCCTCAATCGGAGCTCGGAGCCGCCGTCACGCGCCCCCGCAAGATCAGCCTCCGCGCGCGCGTGAAACACACGCGCCGCCGCCTCTCGCCGGAGCGCCGCCGTGTCTCCGCCGCCGGACCGNCAAGGCTACCACCGTGTTCTACTCGTCGAGACGAATCCGTAGACACCGAAAACGCCTCAATCGGAGCTCGGAGCCGCCGTCACGCGCCCCCGCAAGATCAGCCTCCGCGCGCGCGTGAAACACACGCGCCGCCGCCTCTCGCCGGAGCGCCGCCGTGTCTCCGCCGCCGGACCGTCGCCGGACCGCCGTGTCTCCGCCGTCGGACCGCCGTGTCTCCGCCGCCGGACCGCCGCCCCTCCGCCGCCGGACCACCGTCGCCGCCGGTGACCGTCGCCGGTGACTCGCCGGTGACTCGGTCAACTCGGCCGAGTCAACTCAGCGAGTCAACTCGGTTGACTCGGTCAACCGGTTGGTTGACTGGTTTGACCCGGTTCAATCCGATTGCGATTTGGTTAAGGTAAACCGATGGTTAAAATCAATTGAATTTTGGTTAGGAGTAAACCGGATTGAAATCGATTAGGTTTGGTTCAATTGGATTCGAAATCGGTTAAGGTCAAACCGATTGGTTAGGTCAAATTGATTTCTAGTCAAGGGTTGACCGGGTTGACTTTGACTAGCGAGTTGACTTTTCCAAAATCGCCCGTTTTCGACCGTTCGAAGGTCATTCTGACTCGGAATTTCGATCTGATTTCAGATTTGGGATCTATTTGAGCAGCTGGAGTTCATAGATACCACTTTTCCCCAGTTGCTAAGGTGAGGGTCTACTTCTGAACGATTCGTACGTGACTTAGAACTTTAAATAAATATAATTTATTTCTATTGTGTTCCGTCTGCGTGAAATCGAGTCTGTCATTGCTTGATTAGTTTTAGGTTGCTTGCTTAAACCGGAACTAGGTGGTTAGAGGATTCAACATTGATTGNGAGGGCGGTGACACCGAGCACTCTCTCGGAAGTGTGATTTTGGCCTGATAATGGGCAGCGGGTGTGTGACTCGCTAGGACCATTGTTTGTTTGCTTGGGTACTTTAGGTACCGTGTTTGACATGCATTAGAATTAATTTATATTTATTTGGAGTGCTATGTCCGGGTCTACGGACTTCGGGGTAGCATCCCATACCTCACTGAGTGACTCCCCAGTCGCTCACCCCTCTTTCTTCCCATTTCAGGTGAGACAAGAAATAAGGTGATATTTGGACGGACTTGGTGCTATTGGACTTTTTATTCGGATTTTTCTTTGGGCTTGGGCGAGTGTAGTTGGGCTTTTGGATTTTTTTTATGTTACGTGATATTATTGGTGGCCCGTTGTCCCTAGAGAGAGGGAGACGGGTGTCACATTGTTTTTGAGGACGTGTCGGGGGTGACACGCTGTACTACAAGTAGGAGGTGACGGGTGTTACAATTTATTTCTCTCAATTTTAATCCGTGGGCCTAAGCATCCAAAAAGAAGCTTAGATATTTTTCTGCAACCATTGATTGAAGAGTTGAAGGAGCTGTGGACAAATGGTACAAATGCGTATTATGTCTCCTTGAAGCAGAACTTTAAGATTATAATCTCTCTGACTACTCTATCTCACATCCAATATCAAACATCAATTTCTCTGTGTCTTCCATCAAACATTCAATACCACACACTAATCTCTTTGTCTCCTTGATCTAACATCTAATTTGGTCTTTTCTTGTTGGACATACCATGAATCTCCAACATAAAAGGTGTGATTTTCACTTGCTAAAGCTACTTTTTCTGGATTTTCATTATCTATTGAAATTTACAGACAATGAAAAAACTCTTAGAAAATGGAAAAACTCGTGACTCTGTTCGCGTCTGATAGATTCCCTAGCAATCGTTTGAATATCTACTCAAACTCCAGTTTCTCTTTCTCATTCGTAACTCAAGTTCCTCTTTCGTATGCACTATCTTATCCATGATCTCTTGTCCACAAAAACTCATCTCCATCTGATATCCAACATTATCCTATCCACGATCGCTTATCCAGAAAACTCATCTCTGTCTGATGTCCAACACTATCCTATTCACGATCTCTTGTCCACGAAACTCATCTCCATCCATCCCTTACACATCAATCTCATACCCACCAGTCTGTCATACAAAATATGCTTATCAAGTTAAGTTATTTGTTACTTTACATGCACATCATATTGTATGAGTTAGAAATTTTATATTTTTTTTGTATCTCAATCACAACAATCGCATCTACAACAACTACAATGCATCTTTAACATACACATCTTTAACCATCAGTTCGTATCCACTTCCTTGTAATTGTAACTACCGCATCTTCTTTGTTAACTTTATCTCAAAAAACATCGTTTAATTTATTAACATAAAAAATTAGTTATTTTAATTGTTGTTTCCTTAGACTAAAACATTTTGGTCTCTAATTTACCATACTCTACATAAAAAATGTACCAAAATCATATTGTATCTTTAGATGTAAGACAAAATATATCCTTTTATGTAATTGTCTCTTGATGAAGAAGTTGAAGTTTTGAGTTAAAAATAAAAAATAAAGAGAGAGAAACAGTGAGAAAGAAAATGAGTAAGAGAGGAGATCTTTGTGGCTTTGTCTAATTGTCTCCACTGAAAAAGGCGCGATAAAAAGCGAGTCACCGACTAAGCAAGCCGCTGGTGAAAATCCGATGCAATCCACTCACGACGGCGGCGGTAAAGTAGGAGGTGGGTTGTCTCAGAACCGTTCAGCTCCGGCGACGTGGATTGAAACCCTACTCCAGGATGATGAAGAAGACGATTTGAAACCTAATCTCTGTTTAACTGAGCTTCTCACCGGAAACTCGTCCAGGATAACGAGTCGTGACTCGTTTGAGTTCCCGAGTGATGTTGAGCAGGGATTGTACAATCACCAAGGTGGGTTCCAACGTCAGAACAGCTCTCCTGCGGATTTTCTCAGTGGCTCTGGTGCTGGGAGTGATGGGTTTTTCTCAAACTTTGGGATACCGGCGAACTACGACTACTCGCCGCCGAACGTTGACATTTCTACGGCGAGTAAACGGTTGAGGGAGTTCTCTTCTCAGTTGGTAAGCTTTCATTGGAACCAATCTGTTCTAATTTCCTTATTGCTGTCATGAAACTATGGTCAAAATGCTGAGTCCAGTCTCTGACTTGAGATTAATACACTCGTAGTCTAATGGGTCTTTGAAATGTTTAGCAGTAGAGATAAGAAAAATATAAAAGACCAAATCTTGTCTAATTTTGACAACTTGCATTTGTTTGAAACAAAAACCCAGCAAGTTGCAGTTTTTTTTTTCTCTTTTAAAAGCCTATGTTACATAATGCTTCTATTTATAGATGAAAAGCAAACAAAAAACACATAGGAATCTTTGTTTATTTTCACTATTTATGTTGGCTATGTATCGATCTTGTAACTAGAGTAGTTTCTGAAGTGCGGTTCATGTGAGATGAGATATGTTAATATGGACACTTGGATTTGGATAGTTAACTTTTCACTTTTTGTTGTATGAGAGTATGAGTAGAAAGAAGAGCAAATGAGTGGTGGTGTATCAGGGATGATGGAGGATAAGCTTCTTGAGGACTCTGGTCCTTTTAGAGTTCGTGCTAAACGCGGCTGTGCAACTCATCCTCGTAGTATTGCTGAGCGGGTATTTCCTTAAAAGTTTCATTCTTTTTTGCCATTACTTGTGCTATTTCTTGTTTTGTTTTGTAGTATTTCTCGTTTCATTTTGTTAGGTGAGGAGAACGCGAATAAGTGACCGGATCAGGAGGCTGCAAGAACTTGTTCCTAACATGGATAAGGTAGTTTTCTTACTACTAAACTTGTTAGACGTAAAGGAAAATGCATGTTTACTGTTGATGATTGTGAAAGCACAGTGAAACTTCAGAATTACGGCATAGTCCACATAAACTATGGTTTGTGCAGCCATTTATTAGGATATTCGTTGATATCTGATAATTACCATTTAGTTGCTTCGTTATACATTATGAAATCAAACGCTTGTTGAGTGATGGTTAGTCAAATGCTGAGAAAATCTCGGATATTCAGATTTGGTTTTTTCTTTTTGTGTGCAGCAAACCAACACTGCAGACATGTTAGACGAAGCTGTGGAATATGTGAAAGCTCTTCAAATCCAGATCGAGGTTTATCTACTGACATATTGGCATAAATTTAGCATATGAAATGAGGGAAATGTCTGGGAAGGAACACTGCTGAGTAAGACAAACTTTTAAAAATAATTTGATCATTTTATATTTTGTTTTTATGGATTCAGGAGTTGACAGAGCAGCAGAAGAGGTGCAGATGCAAACCTAAGGAAGAAAAATAAGGTTTCCTATATATATATATACATGTATTTTTTTAAATCTATGAATGGTGATGATCTGTTCGAAATTTCGAAACTTGATCTACCAAAATTTGATTATTTGATGTGTGGCTTTAGCTGTAAATTGTTTGTACAATAAGGTAAAACGTCTTGAAGAATAAAAAATATGGATATTCGTTATGGAAATGGGCAAAATAAAGGATTCAGTGCTGTGTTTTTATCCAAAGGAGGGGGGTTTGTGTAAAAAAGAGATCGAAACCTCTCTCCTCTCTCTCTCTCTCCTCTACCTTTCTCTCAACACCAAAAAACTCTACCTTTCTCTGAACACCAAAAAGAAATCTGAGCTTGGTATCGACGTTGACCAGCACGTGCAAGCGTGGGCGTCGATGCCCCTTCTCCACCCTTTATCTCCTCTTCTCTTTGTTCATCCGAGGTCTACCTTTCCTTGCTGTTTTGCTTTAGGTTCTATTACGTGTTGAATAAGATCGAAGAATGGAGAAAAGTTACCTGAAGAAGATTATCTCCATAATTAAAATAGAAATGTATATTGATCTGTTGAAAAGATTCTGTTTACAATGTTTCTATTATATACAATTATCCATAAGCTAAACCGGAAACCAAACCAGCGAAAGGAAATTAATTTGGTAAACCAAAACCCGGTTATCTACTTCAATAGTCCCCCTCAAGATGTGCAACCTGCAAAAATATTCTGAAGACACATCTTGGATTTAGGATGATCAAACTGTGAGGGAAACAAGGGCTTAGTCAGTATATCAGCAACCTGATCTTCACTCTTCACGTGAAGCGTCCGAAGCAACCCACGATCCAATTTCTCACGAACTGTGTGACAATTGAGCTCAATATGTTTTGTCCGTTCATGAAAAACAGGATTCGTAGGAATGTAAATAGCTGCTGTACTATCAGAATATAGCACCGGTACGGACAGCTGAACCACATGAAGATCCTTGAGTAATGCAACTAACCACATCATCTCACAAGAGCTCGATATTTAGCCTCGGCTGAAGAGCGTGAGACAGTAGGTTGCTTTTTAGATCTCCAAGAAATCAATGAATCGCCAAGAAACATTGTAAACCCCGTAGTAGAACGCCTACTATCTTGACAGGAGGCCCAGTCAGCATCAACAAATCCCTTGAGATGAAGATCCGGAGTTGCAGCGTAAAAGATACCCTGACCAACTGTGCCTTTGATATATTGTAAAACTCTGTAAACAGCCGTAAGGTGTGTTGATCGTGGAGCAGACGAATACTGACATAACTTGTTCACAGCAAATGTTATGTCAGGTCTCGTTATAGTGAGATACATAAGCTTTCCCACAATCCTTCTGTACATGTCAGGATCTGTAAGAAGTTCACCATCAGCTTTAGACATCTTCAAATTAGGAACCATAGGAACAGAGGATGGTTTACAACCCAACATTCCAATAACAGAGAGAAGATCCAAGGCATACTTCTGTCAACACAGAGTAATACCTTTCGATGATCTAGCCACTTCCAAGCCAAGAAAGTACTTGAGAGGACCAAGATCCCGGAGCTTAAAGTGTTGTTGCAGAGTTTTAGTAAAATGAGAAGCAGCAGTGGTACTAGTACTAGCAATGAGAATATCATCCACATAGACTAATACCACAACGAAATCAGTATCCAATTGCTTGACAAACAAGGTATGATCTCCATGTCCACGAGTGAACCCCATATTGAGCAAAGCCTGAGACAATTTCTTAAACCATTGTCGAGAGGCCTGTTTAAGATCATAGATGGACTTTCTCAAACGAAGAACCGCTTTAGGTGGAAGAAGGTCCCCCTTACGTTTAGCATAGTAATCAGCATAACACTCTGGAGGCTTCATATAAATCTCCTCCTCAAGCTCTCCATTTAAGAAAGCATTAGAAATATCCAACTGAGTGAGAAACCAGTGTTTAGAAGCAACAACTTTTAATAAGAGCTTTATGGTAGCCATTTTTGCAACTAGAGAGAAAGTTTCATTGTAATCCAGTCCCTCCTTCTGTGTATACCCTTTAGCTACTAATATGGACTTCCGTCGCTCAAGTGTATTATCAGCGTTGAACTTCAGAGAATGAATCCACCGACATCCAACAGTCTTCTTCCCTGGAGGCAATGTAGCAACTGTCCAAGTATTAGTATCTTCCATTGCATCAAGTTCTTTATCTGAAGATTCACACCATTCTTTAGATTGTTTAACCTCTGCCCATGAAGTAGGAATGGGTATACTAGTAACATGATTGATGAAAGATAGGTATGATGGAGAGAGTTTAGAGTATGATAAAGAAGATGAAATGGGATATAAGGAAGAGGAATTAAGAGAATTACAAATCTAATCTTGTAGATAAGACGGTGGTTTCTTATTTCTGGTGTTAGAAATTTCTGAAGAAGGAGGAATGGTTTGTGTTTCAGAATTCTCATGGATACCTGAGGGTTGAGGATTAGGTGTGGTGAGATTATGAATGGGAAAAATAGAGGTAGTAGACTGCAGAGGAAATATTTCTTCATGAAACAAAACATTCATGGAGATGAAGATCCGATTACTTTCCAAATCCATCAATTTATACCCTTTATATCCAAAAGGATATCCCAAGAAGATGCAAGCCTTTGAGCGTGGAAGAAACTTATGTTGTTGCTTGAGAGAAGTAGAAGCATAACATAAGCATCCAAAAGACTTGAGTTGAGAGTAAATCGGAGGAGTACCAGTCAAAAGCTCATAAGGAGTCTTGTTGGATAACAACTGAGATGGAGTTCTCTTGATGAGAAACACTGTAGTCAAGATGCAATCGCCCCATAAAGTAAGAGGAACATTAGACTGAAAAGCCAATGCACGAGCGACGTTCAATTACGCTCAACTACAGAGTTTTGCTCTGGAGTTTCAGGACAGGAGTGATAAGGCAAGATACCTTTCTTCTGATACAACTTAGTAAACTGTAACTCTGGAGCATTATCTGACCTTACTGATTTAACCTTGACATTATAGAGGTTTTCTACTTGTTCAAGAAACGCAGGGAAAACTGTCAAGACTTCATTCTTTGTACGAAGGAGATAAACCCAAGTTGCTGTAGAATGATCATCAACAATTGTGAGGAAGTATCTAATCCATCAATGGTTTCGACTGAGAACGGTCCCCATATATCAATATGTAACAACTTAAAGTTTGTGTTACAAATATTATTGAAAGATGGATAAGAAAGCTTCTTTTGTTTAGCCAAATGACAAGTATGACAAAAAGCAGATCCTTTATTCTTGTGCTTTGTAGTCCCTAAAGTATCAGAGATAACATCCAGTCTTGAGTAAGAAGGATGACCCAGACGTCTGTGCCAAACTCCAATATCAACAACTAAGTTCACTGAGACTTGAAGAGACTCCATATCAAGCACATAGAGATTACCAATTCTCCTACGATGACCAATCGTCAATACCATGGTAGGATCCTGAATCAGACAAGAGGAAGGATCAAATATCACACGAGAGTTTAAATCATTCATCAGAGAACTGATACTGAGAAGATTGAGCCTAAACTCTGGTATGTACAACACATTACTGAGACAAATGTGTGAGTTGAGTTGAACTTTCCCAACATCACTGATCTTAATAGTAGATCCTGTTGGTAAGTTAACATGACTCTCAACAGATGTGTCAAGAGAAAGAAATAAACTCTTCTCATGAGCCACATGATGCGTTGCACCGGAGTCAATAACCCAAGTTTGAGAGGAAAGAGTATGTTGAGCAACCATCAATATACCAACAAAACTATATGTTAATGTTGAGAATGATATACCAGAGTTTGATGAACTTGCTTCCATGGGTCCAGAGGTTGAAGAAGGATTGAGTTGAGAAGAAAACAGAGCAATGAATTGCTGAATCTGATCTTTAGAGAGACTGCCAAGCATATTCTCAACATTTGTGTTCTTTTGATCAACCACGGAATGAGATTGTCCTGTAACTGGAGTAGCAGCCTTCTGATTAGAGGTGTTCTTCTCATTCTGTTTGAACTTAGAGACAAAACCCGGTGGGAACCCATGTTTCTTATAGCAACGTTCTGCTATGTGACCAGGACGCTTACAGAAGTTACAAATAGGTCGTCCTTTGCTAGGGCCACTTTGCACATAGCAGACTGTTTGATCAGTGCCTGGAGAAGAAGCATCTGAGACCTGGAAAGTAGATGGAGAAGGAGCAATAGTAGAGAACCCTTTCTGAGTGTCATCCTGATCCAAGATATTGTAGACTTCAACCAAAGAGGGTAACACATCCTTCATGATAATTTGTCTCCTAATGATCGCGTAAGATTCATTGAGACCTGCCAAAAACTTAACAATCTTTGAACGATCAGCTTTCAATTGTTGTTTAGCAGCATTACCACAAATACAAGGCTTATCTGGTTCTTCAGAACTCTCAAGTGTATCCCAGAGTGTTTTCAACTTTGTATAATATTCGGAGAGTGACATGGATCCTTGACGAAGGTCTTGTATCTCCTGAGTCAGATCGAATGTCCTTGGGAGATTAGTCATATGGAAACGAGCATTAAGATCACGCCATATATCTGAAGCATCATTCAAACGCAAGATACTACGATAGATTGAGGTTGATACTGAGTTGAGTAACCATGATTTAACCATACTATTGCATCGTAACCATAGACGAAACGTAGGATCTGAATCAGAAGGTCTAACCAGAGATCCATCTATAAAACCAATTTTATTCTTGGCATCCAAGGCAATACTCATAGCAGCACTCCAATCATCATAGTTAGATCCATCAAGCTAAATCGAGATGAGAGATAGACTTGGATGATCCGCATTGTAGAGATACAACGGAGATTGAGTCGGATCATTCGGAGGAATGACGATCGGAGCTTGCTGAGGTGCGGTCGGAGCTTGTGGAGGTGAAGTTGCATCTGTTTCGTTAACACGCAAAGATCTCCGTGTAGGATTTCGAGTCGCACTTGTTGACGCTACAGATTTAGAAGAATGACGAGTCTGGATCTTCCGTATAGACACCATCGGAGCTCAAAAATTGCGGAAAATGAAGATGATGAGCTTGATGATGAAGATCGAAAGAGATCAAGATGAATAAGAGCTTTGTGATGGCTCTGATACCATATTACGTGTTGAACAAGATCGAAGAATGGAGAAAAGTTACGTGAAGAAGATGATCTCCATAAT